GTTTTTGTGAGCTACGTGGCGTACTTGAAAAAATTCCACCGTGGATTGCCAGACTTCAAGCGAGCTCGTTAAATGTCGGCGAATTCGTTCTCCTTTTTAGTGACAGAAGCGAATACATGCAAATTCGTGAGCAAGGAGCTCTATCCTTTTACTATGAGATTAATTCGTATAGTGTTAAGCATACTTGCCGCCTCTGTTTTGGCTGCTGGACGCATGACCGCAAGGGATAGCACGAGCGATTGCATTATAGCGTATTATACTGAGGAAGCTTGGTTACTGTAAGTCAAAAGTTAATACTATCCAGAGGTCGTTAATTATTGATCCTGTACGTTAGGTATATCTCCGTCCAAATAAGTCCAGCAAGTGCACCAAATATTGGCTGATGGATATCGTCGGCGAGTACGAAGAAAGATGTGGAAGCCGGTAGTATATATCTGATATTAAACTATTGCAATTGTACAAAACTTAAGAAAAGAGAGAAAAGTGAAAATATCTTGCATGTTGACATGATGATACTTGGCCTCGTACACCGGTAGCAAAGGTGTCCTGACGTGGGGAAGAGGCGACCTCGTTTGATGGGAAAGCACAAGGGAAGTTATGCGGTGTTTAATCTCGTCGAGGGTACTTTCGGATTAAGACCGCTAGCACACACACACCAGTAGCACATACAGAGTAGGAATCAAATCGATGTAAGGCGACACACTCACTGGGCGACAAAATCCACTTTTAGCACTTCATGTATCCTCAGCACGGCAAATTCTCGACTGAGCCTACTCTCTCCAGTTCTTCTCACTCTTTTTAGTCTCACACTCTACAACTTCAAGTCCATAGTGAGAATCAGTATAATACGCAACAGGGTTGATGGCGTTGGCGTGCGCTAAGAAAATACAAACTCACAATGTCACTACGATATGGATTGAAACTTCTCTGGACTTCGTCGTTCAAATATGGCAGCTTCTATGCAAATCGTCGTGCAGATTGAACGACGAATTCCTCGAAAGATTGAAAGCATACAAATCCAACGAAATGCAATAATCGTCGTGCATTTTGCACGAAGCCTTTTACGTCTCAAATGCAAGTGTGAAGCAATCACTAATGAGGTTGCTAATATGTATATTTGGCTCTTGAGCTTCTGGGCTAGAGCTCTACACGATAAATGACCAATTTGCGTTCTCCCTCGTTCACTGGACTGGCTGGCGTCGCCAGGCTGGTGTGCCGCGCAAGTTCGTGTTTGTTGTTACTCAGCCCCTTAACTGGACGATGCGCGTAACAGTCAGTTGCCGACGCAGATGGTATTTGTGGAGCGTATTCAGAGATACAAGGAGACGTCGACGGAGGCGGCTCTGACTATCACTAAAGCTGAGAAGCCGCTGTTTGACTGGCCGACGGGTGGAGCCTTTTAACTTTAGCTTAGCGGAATTGATCTCCGTTATCGTCCTAATCTGACGCGTGTGCTTCGTAGACTCGCATTCAATGTGAACAGGAAAGAAAAGGGTTGGTCGTACGGGCGCTGGAAGCGCAGCTTGATCTTGGGTCTCCTCGAGCTGGACGCGGGCTCCATCATTATTGACGGCGTGGACATCGGCATATACGTCGTGCAAGTTGCACGACGAATTCCATTTAGCTATACATGTCAACACACGTACATTTCCTTTACGGCACCCTTTGGTAGGTTTCTTTTAAATGAGAAATCATTATTTAAAACCAAAAATGATGCTGTTAAAAAAAGACTTTCGACCGTCGCTCGGAAAATAGCATCAGCGGTTTCCTTTGGCGCGGGAAAAAATATTACATTTAGTTTACCTGCCTTTTACTTCAGCTACGTCCAGTCTCATGACTAGTGAGTAATCTAACCCTGTAAACGGTGGCGAGCGCCTCAGTGATGAACCTCAGTTTCAGCTTTCCCCCGTCTGTTGGATCAACAGTCGGTCGGAACGTGAAGTATAACGTACCATGCATTTCGTTGTTCAAATACCTGTATTTAATAGGTTATTTAAATAAAACCATGTTTACTCACAATGTCCTGTAATCATTGCAGGACACCGTAGAGTAATCGGATCACAAGTTGGTGATTAGTGACCCTTTGATTATCCAACTTTTGGAAGCAAAGGAAAATGCAGCTCGGCATTCCCAGCATGCACTTATCGTTCCACACTGTCGATAACAAACGCATCCGTTGCCATGTACTCCAGTACTCTGTGCCCACCCAACAGTCATCTCCTGAAAGACGAAGTAGTTACAGGTGGGGTTCTGTGTGCCAGGCGAGCAAACAGGGCATCAAACCATTCAGCGGGGTTCAAGCCTGTACAAGGAAATCCGCTCCGTGGCTGGGTGAACAGTGACGGTAGCTTTGAGTCCCGAGCGCCGATTCCATTTGGTGACATGGTTAACAACAACAAAAGGAAGGGAGTTGAAACCACAGATGTCACCCGTTTCAAGCGTTTGAAAACTGCTTCTGCCGATGAGAAGTACAAAGCGATTGCAGAATTGCTGGAGCTTGGTGAGCGCGTACAACGCGAGCGACGTCGACAAGTACAACACCGATATAGAATGAAGCAAACACACTTGATTGACAGCCTCGACAAAGCTATTGAACAACTACGTCAAGAGATTAAGACGCTCGAGCAGCAGCGCTTGCGTGCACCAGCAGCCACCACTGTAACGAACGACATCTGGGATTTTGCAATGCATTATTTTCGTTTGGTTCGTCTGGGTTTCAAGCCCGGCCACCAACTCGATTCCGTGCGAGAAGCGATGGCATCTGACGTCACGCACAACGTCGAGGTCGGATTTGAGGCCATAGCGCAGAGCTGGTGTTTTATGCAGTGGTTTGGTGGCGTGGAAGTGGAGCTTGAGCATCTGTGTAAAAGTGTTGGAAGCTCGATGATCGTGACCACGAAAACAAGTGTGACGATCACAGAGCAAACTCTGTTACATGTATTTCCGCATCTATTGGGCTCCAAGAGTGAAGACGAGAATGCGAAGCTGGTGAGCAAACTTCTACGCCAACGGATAATAATGCGCGGTTCAACATGCTTCGAGTGGGATACTGTAACTAAACGCGTGGTCCGTGTGGTGGCTCAAAGTGACATGTTAACTCCAATGCTGCGTCTGCTAGGAAACTTGGATGCTGTGTCTCGAGTATTTGAAAAGGCGCATGTTTCACCGAGCTTCCAGTGGAGACCGCTAGGTCGCGGAAAATAATGACACCAATGTTTAGGGATCGAGTGATACATGTGGATTCAGTCCCGCTAAATAATGACAAGCATTAACACAGAAAAACTAGGTTTAGATAATATATCTACCATCCCAGTATCCATTCAACCCTAGATGAGATAAGAAAAACAAAAATCAGAATTACTTTCTACTGCGTCAATGTATCCGAAACTAACAGGTGTCTCGATGCAGGTGCATGCATGGTTATGCCGACGCGGCACATGCACTGTCGAAGCGGAACGATCTACTATACACGTAGTAAACAGGTAGTAGAACCACTCTCTCAGCATGTAGCTTGGGTGGTCGCGAGCTCTGCATGGCAATAATGTCAAATTGTGACGGTAGCCCGTGACCGCCTGTGAGATTGTGTAGCTGGAAGACCAAAGCCGACGGAGAAAAGTCCTATTCAGAGGAGTTCGTTTTCTTTAGGTAAGACGTACGCTGGCCAAGATTACATTGTGCCGTCAAAAAAAAAAAAACCGTTGTCATTACATCTATGAGGCTACATTTTAGCGTCTACTTATACCTGTATATCACAAGGTCAATCGCCACTGAAAGCTAGGAGAAATAGCAGCTTGTTCGAATACTCGAGATACATCGTCCAAACTCTCCAGCAACTCCACAAGCGGACGTAACATATCACTTTGAGTGACCAAGCTGACCACCAGGTTCTTCTTGCCGTCCCACCTGAAACATGTTGAGCCACGCATCGTCAGTCGCTGGCCTAGAAGTTTATTTGCCAAAGAGGAGAAAGTAGTGCCATTGCTTAGCTTGGAGTTGAGTAAATGAGGAAAAACATTGGCTAGAGTTCGTTCCGTGATCGTCACTTTTGTTCTTGTGGTTGCAATCATTTCGTTTCCAGCGCACATTTTCAGGTTTTCAAGCTCCACTTCCACGTTCCCAAACCACTGCATAAAGCACCAGCTCTGCACTATGGCCTCAAAACCGTATTCGCAGTTGTACACGACGTCCGGAGCCATCATCGCTCGCACAACCTGGAATTGTCTGCTGTTGGGATGGAAACTTTGACGAACCAAGCGAAAATATTGCACCGCTACGTCCCAGATTTCGTTCGCTGTTGAGACTACAGCGGGTATGTTTTGGCGTTGCCGTTTGAGTTCTTTGATTTCGTGGTGTAGAGCTAGAAAGCTAGAGATCATGATTCGCTGCTTCTTCTGCATCTGAATTTCCTGAATCTCATTCACATTAAGCGCTAGCGAGTCTGCTATTGATGTGCAGCTGACACCAGTAGGTGGTGCCCCCGTGAGGTGTTTCGACTCACTCCTCTTCCTAACTGGGGAAATATTTTCATCACCAGCCTTAAATAGTGCAACCACACTGTTTGCTTGTCTGTTGGACTGTACCGCTTCAGTGACGAAATCATCTCTCTGGAGGTGGCTGTTGGGTGGACGGAGAGAGCTGAAGGTCATCGCGTCTTGCTGGAATTCGATAATAACGAAAAGTAAGGCTAACGCAAACTTGATTAGTTCCATATTCCCCGCGTGATTACAGTCATCTCCCGCCCCCATCGCCTGCACCATAATCTGACACACCACGCTAAAATCAAACATCTGTTCTCTGAATATTTATATTCAGAGTTTTAGGGGCAATCGCGGACCGTCGAAGATCCTATATAAATAAATAAACTGTACCCATTCGGCCATTCGAACTTAGCATTTCATCATAAAGACTGTTTCGAGA